AGCAAGGGCTGGTGTGCAGGAGGAAGGGGCAGGAGGCAGGTGGACCACGGTGGGCACAGCCAGCAGAGTGCCCGCTGGGAGGTGCTTTCGATGGCAGGAAGAGCGTGGGGGCGTGTGCAGGGCCCCCATGAGCCGGGGAGAAGACCAGAGTGACGTGCCAGGGGAGAGGCTGGGGAACCGGCTTGGGCAGGCAGAGCCGGGGCAGGGCCTGACGTGGGACCCAGGGGCCGAAGCTGCTCTCACGCTTCTTGGCTTTCTGAGGATGCAGGGCCAGAGACCAGGAGCCGCCTTGGCGGACTGACAGGGGAGACGTGGGCAGAGGGAGAATGGGTTTGGAGAGCTTCTGGGGAGGAAGCACCTCCCAGAGCACAGCACACACCCTTCTGGGCACAAAGGCCAGTGACGCTGTCTCCAGAGGCAGCAGCCTTCAGTTCCCCTGCAGAGGCTGCCCCCTGGGAGCCCTGCTGCTGTGGAATGAGGGGTCCATCCAGAACGGGCCAGTGGGCTCTGGGACTATGGCAGCAATGAGCTGCTTCTTGGCGGCCTTCTAGCCACGCAGGGGAGTCTGCCTTCTGTCCCAGGGCCGGGCTCAATCCCTGCTCTCTCCAAAATCTGTCCACTTGGGCCCCCAAGCTCCTCCCTAGCCCTGGGCAGGCTCATGGCCGGCTCCCTCCTCTCACTCCCAGACTCAAGGCAGGGGTCTTAGAGGGACCCCCTTCCTCTCCTTGGTGCCGGGCTCTGCCCTCCTCTCCCCCCCCCCCCCCCCCCCCCCCCCCCCACCGGGCCCCTTCAAGAGGGAGCCTGGACTTGCCTGCAGATCCCAGACCTGGGCAGGCCGATCTTATCACCTCCCCTGGAATGTCCCCTGTTCATGTTTTGAGAGGCCCAGCTTCTTTCCGATCCTGGCTCCCTCCTCCCTCCACCTCCCTCTCTGTCTGTGGAGTGCAGAAGTGGACGATTCGCGTCAGGATGTCAGTGGTCGAGGAGAGATGATCTGAGATCCAGTGTGAGGGGACCAGACATGCAGGCTCCTGGGCTCTTCTTAAGAACTCAAGTGCTTTTACCATCCCTCAGTACTGAGTCCTCAGCTCCCCCCGCCCTGCAAGCGTAAAGACCCGCCTCCAATAGCCAACCTCCATGCAGGACAACGCAGACGCCCCATGGCCACGCCCCTAGAGACTGGAAACGGCTGGGGCCACCACAGGGACTGTCCATGGACAAGCAAGTGCACGACCTGTGAAAAGCACAGTCAGTGTGGAGGGCCCATCACTCTGACTCCAGCTTGAGAGGCAGACCTGACCAGAGGTGTTCTTACTATCCCGCCATCACTGTCACCACCACCATCACCACCATCCTCAGCATCACCACCACCATCACCATCATCACCACCATCACCACCATCACCACCACCATCATAATCACCATCATAATCACCATCATCATCATCCCCACCACCACATCACCATCACCATCACCATCACCACCATCACCACCACCATCCTCAACATCACCACCATCCTCAGCATCACCACCACCATCACCATCACCACCATCACCACCACCATCATAATCACCATCATCATGATCCCCACTACCACATCACCATCACCATCACCACCATCACCATCACCATCACCACCATCCTCACCATCATCACTACCATCATAATCACCATCATTACCATCATTATCACCATCATTACCATCATTATCACCATCACCACCATCACCACCATCACCACCA